TGGAACTAATTTAGAGAATGGATACTAATTGATGATGTTGAATATTAGTTGGGTAGGAAGATTAACTTAAGATGTCTATTATTCTAAATTTTTTAGTTAATTTTATTCCTTGGATTAAAATGTGATTGGCAAAATGATTGAATCGAGCATGGGTGCATGATTTTGGGGTAAGCAGATAACCCAAAAGCAAACATCCTAATTAATCCCAACTATTTATGGCACCAATTTGGTACAACAATACTGTTAAACCAATTCAGAAATTGAAGACTGTATGGGCAACTTCCATTGAGCCTTTATAGAGATAGATCATCGAGCCTCTTTATAGAGAGGCCCAAGTTATGGTCCATTGGTCTTAAGCCTCGTTAAAAGATGATTTGATTACTTAATTAAGCCGACTAATTAATCTAAAGTTAATAATATAATCATGTATTTGAACAATCCAAACGGTAAAAACAACAAAGATAGTCAAATCTCTTTATTGGGTCTGATATTATATATATATATATTTGGGTCTCCAAATGTTAGAAGACTGTAGATTTACTCTGAGAAGTTTGGAGCAGCACCTGAACCCACCACACCGAAGAGATCAATCCGTGCAACATCAAGTTCATGTCACCATGCATGCAAAGTGGTAATCAAATGCCTCCATAAAAGGTGTTAAATTTTGTTGCCAATGAATCAAGGGAAGAATGGGGCTATGAACTGCATCAAGGACTGGTCTTCTGCTGCAGACAGCCATGGTTGAAGAGGTCTTTGTTTGTTGTGTATAGCTGAGGACCATGATGGCAGTCAGCAGGATTGGAATCTTAATTGTAGGATTGTGCAGATCTGTTTGGTAGATTGCTGGTCCACCTGCAATAATGTATTCGATATGGATTGTGTCCTGTCGAACATTGTCCTTTGCCTTGCCAATGGATTCATGATTTCTGCCACCAGATCAGGCCATGAAGGATGATGTTGTGTATCACTTTATTGCCAGTGTTTTTGGTGGCTGTAAATTTGTATGTGTGTGTGTGTGTTTTTTTTTTTTTTTTTGGATCCGATGCCATCTTCTTCATCGCATTCATCCCATGTTTGAAACAGAGATGATAGCAGAGTAGCTTTAAAGACATGGGGGGGAGAAGGTTTCCACCTGTCTCTCAGCACAGTTTGACATATCAATACAGTCATGTCAAGAACAATGCACAGACACATGGCTTTTCTTAGTACTCGTGCTTCTTCTCCCTCTTCCTCTCGTAGTCCACTTTGTGGTGGGTACAGTAAATGGCAGCTCGGCCATTGCTAAGGAGTGGCGGAGCAGAGTGGTGGCCGCTCATTCAAGTGTCGGCAAAAAACACTGTTTCTTAACAGTAGCCCTTCAATCAGCTCAGTGGACATACATCAGTAATATATGGATAAAGATTTTGTCTCAAGAGAGAGAAAGAGAGAGAGAGAGATCCGGGTGAGACAAAGACCCAGAGAACAATCTGGATTGCACATTTGAAATGGGAGAGTAGACAAATCCCTCCATGGCATGGGCAGCTGTTTTCATGAGATTGTTTGGTCTGAGACAGAGCAGTACAGTAAGCTGAGCATAATTAAATTGCTGCGCAGAAACCTACTCCCTTAAATTATCACAAAAATGCATTATATGTTTACATCGATTGTTCGTCTAGAAATGTCTCACCGGATGAATTTTTTAAGCTTCTAAGCACTTTAGATTAATCCGAAATAGTTCGTCTTGCATGAGCCGATGTATTTATCTATGAACTGTTTGTATCATTTATTATGCTCGTCTCCTCCTCTCCTCTCACATCTATCGTAATCAAATCATCCAAACAATGTAATGAATCTAAAAGGACAAATACATTATAAATAATTTCCCAAAACTAGGATGAGCTCATAGCATCCTAATATGGGATTTTTCTGGGTAGATCCTTTTTTTTCCCTTTACAGCAAAGATTAAGACAGGGATGTAAACAAAAGATCTTAACATTGTTACGAGATCACAAGCTGAAATTTTCTCACTGAGAGAGAGAAGGAAATGACAATGTGACAAAACCAATGGACATGTGAGCAGAGCAATAATAATAATAATAATGATGTGGTAGGATATAGATCGAGCAACATGGTGTCGCTGAGGTGAACATTCAACCAGACCTGAAAGCTCAGCATGTCTTCAATGGCACAAGACACTATCCATATAGCTCTTTTGCAGGTTTTATCACTGGATGGATGCCACTACTGTAGAACAGCATCAAACTCTGTTCCTTGTCTTTCCTGCAAAAATGCAGCATCGAGTAAAGACTATATATATATATATATATATATATATATATATATATATATAT